CACACGTCTCCTGTCTGGTAATACTGTGTACAACTCAAGCACATCATTTCTCAATCAAAAAAATTGCGGCGTTCACACTTGCGCAACTAACCATTTCCTTGATCTGTCCGTGAGGGCACCTCTCGGGCAAATTCAGCGCAGATCTTCATTGCTTCACCCCGGTTATACGCAATTGTAACGACTCGCGCGCGGCTGTGGCCTGTTCAGCAGCTCGCATTTTGTTGTTTATTTTTCTATTATCCACACAACTTTTTTAGGTGTTTCATACTTCATTATCATCTCTCTCTTCCACCATCTTTAAGTAGATAAACATTACAGAGTTCTGTAGTTTACTGTTCAGTTATCTACTATTATGTATTGACAACAGGTCCCAGCCGCCCGGGCATCTCGTGGTCCAACGCCGACACCTACTGCTGGGAGGTGCCGCCGTCCCCATCCCAGAAGAGGGAGCTCGAGGATCGGGGCCACTACTGGACGGACGAATGCGAGCTATCCGCGTTCCTCATCCTCAAGTACCTGGCCATTCAGTCCGCCTGCTACCTGGTGGCCGCAGTCTACTTCGACAATGTCGTGCCCGACGGAAAGGGCGTGCCGAGGCCGCCGTGGTACCTCCTGTCGCTTTCTTACTGGCGCCCCACTCAGGTGATGTAAAAACGGAGTTGCTATTAGGTCGGCGTTTGCGTTTTTACGTCGCGTTTTACGCATGAAAAAGTAAATTTGCAGAAGGGTTAATTTTACGGCTGTATTTACATTTCGCGGCTAGCTTTGACACCCAGGTTACGAGATGGAAGTGGCCCACAATTGCCAGTACTTCGTCCCCTCGAGTGCCCGCAACACGTCGTCAACCTCGCCTTCGTTGTGGGCAACGACGGCGTGGAACAAAAGTTCATTTCTCCCCCTTCCAGCGCATCCGGCTGCCACGCCTCGGTCCCCCCCCAGTCTGCACGTACTGTCTTTATGTACTCGGCACTGTATTTATTTTGCGTTTACCCATTTTTACGCGCTGTTACACGTAATAATTATTTTTACGCGTAAAAGAGTAAACAAGATCGGTTTTTACGGCGTAAATCACAAAACTGTGTAGGAAGAAGTGAAGATCTCCGACGTGCGGTGTTGTGACAAAGATGTGCATGCCACCGCCCGTGCTAAGCCCGCAACATATGGCCCACTAGAATGTATCATGGCCACGTCCAGGGCAGTCCATGTGTCGCCCCACTGCTCCCCCAGTCTCAAAAGACGGGTGAGGTATAGGGGGTGCTTTGGATGGAGGACTGACCACATCGTGGTAGCTGATGCGCTCGAAGTCGAATGGGACTCAATTGCAATTGACTTGATGGTATATCATGTGTTGGTGAACGGCGGACATCAAACGGCAATAAATAGCTTCATCTGCAGTATTTTCGTGTCGGCATTTATCCACATTCTCATGGCAAAACAACGATCTGAAATAGCATCTGTAGAGGCCGCATATTGTCGAGCGCAAACTATTATTACCTCAAAATTAGGCCATAGAACCATCTTCAATAGCTCGACTTTGCATGGAGATGACAAGTGCATGGATGAAAGCCACTACATTGTATCGATCTCATCATAAACGAAGCTGGGACTAACATTCGGTCCGAGCAACGGAAGTAGAGGGAGGAAAAGCTTGGCATTAGGCCAAAATACCGCCTGACTTTGTTTGAAAGAGAAATATGGGATCCGAGACTACGAAATGGCGAGCGCTATGATCGCCATTTGGGGAAAAAACATCCAAGTTGTGCGATTCATGTTCAACTTATTTGAGTTTCTGGGCACCATTTTCAAGAATTTAAAAATTTTCTTTCTATTTTTTAAAATTAAATGATGCGTGCACGCAAATGACGTCTTTGCCTGATAGAATCGCGCCATGTCTTTTTCTTCTGCTGTCTTCGATCACCGAATCATCTCCCTGCTCTATTTTTAACGCCACAATGCCAGCATTGAAGTGCATTTATCGTAAACATATTTCTTAAATGTAATATAATCTGATTTTGTACGATCATGCGATGTAGCGGCGCGACGCCAAGCACTTGAAGACGGCCCTTAAGCGCCACCACGAGACGGCTGCCGGGTATTCGACTGATGAAGATGTGAAATGCGAGAGCTACCGAATGAGGCGCAAGTGCCTCAATATCCTCAGATCCATGGGAGAGTGGTGAGGATCATGGACCTCGGCACTACCTGTGCACTGGCGATTCAGTTACCTTGAAAAATCAAACGCGGGAATAGTGCGCACTAAGAACAGGCGCTGCACATATTTTGGTCTATGAGCACTGTGCAGTTTGTGGCATATATTGTGTACTACACTATGGTATTGTATTGTGCGGTACAAGGTAAAAGGAGACAATCGAGCGATACGATGCAATGCGATGTACGGGGTCCATGTTATGTTTGCGTAAACTTGTACAGAAACAAGTGATTGCAAGTTTTGATGTTGAAACTGAGGCGCTTCAGCTGGCGTTGCTGATGATGCACAGGTCTGATTCGGACTCCATTTCAATGTCCTTCACCAAGGGTGATGACGGGAGCGGCATGGAAGAATTCTGGACTGACATATCCATAACTCCCAGGGGGCAGGAGGCCAGCGAGCTGGAGGAACAGGACCCCGCCGATCCAGTGATGCAGCTCTTCGGCTTGAGAAAGGCAAGTGCCTGGGCAGGGCGCCGGTGATAGGCGCTTTCGGTGGTGGAAGCCTCAGCACTACTTTAGGAAAAACGCATGGTGCGTTGCAGTGCTTGGCTGCATCGCTTCTGATAAAATGGTGGTATTAAAGGAATCATTGCAATTCAGCCAGATCAAACAATGATAGGAAAACGCCGCTAATTCGCAATTTTAAACAGTGATTCTTCCAAAGAGATTGTAGAATCTGTGCCCTCAGCATCGTGCGCTTTGAGCACAATACATATGGATTCAGCTGCGCTTGTTCGAAGGACACACATTTTGAGGCTTCTATTGGCAAATACAACACAACAATATTGCTGAATTGCAGAATCACAATTCATGTGGTGACTTTACCAATATTGTCGTCAAGTGGAAGTCAGTGGAGAAGCACCATTCGCGCGCTGCATTGCGCGCAAAAATATATTCCTCCTTGAATATTGCATTCCTTTGCAATGGACGCAAGCGCTTTGTGCCAATCTATGTCATTCAGACCTATGGGAAGGCGCGCTGCAAGGGAGCAGAATTCACGGCAGTCGAAGGCACGTGGCTGGGAATCCACGAAGGGGAGTGCTTCTGCCTCCTGGGACCCAACGGAGCTGGAAAGACCACAACAATCAACTGCTTGACTGGGGTGCGTGCGCAAAAGGATGCCAGCAGAAAATTCTGTGATGCGAATGATGCATTATGCGCACCACGAACTGCCCCAGTCTCACCCACGCCGCTGGAAGCACTGAAGGCTGCACATAGAGTTTCTTTGCGTTCTGCCAATCAGTGTACCTTCGAGTTACTTTCGGCCATCATCTGTGCGAATTGTAGATGGGAATGTGTAAAGCAAAGCGAAGCAAACGGGCGAGAGAAAGCCAAAAGCCTATTGGATGTACAGCTTCATGCCACTGATGAACAGATGTCAGAGACCCTCGTTGCCCTTCGAAATAAAGCCCCTTCAAGAAAAATTTCCGTCCACAGTCGCCTGTGAGCATCATAAGTTTGTGCTCTTCCTTGGACCCGGGAGCTTGAGGGAGCGTTCCGACGGTGTCCCATTAAGCAGCATTTATGGACAATGGGCGTCCCAAAAATGGGAATTTACACTAGTGAAAGTCCTTCTTGGTTACCAGAACTTGTTATCGTATTGTTTCTGCTATCGCGGTTACGCTTTTATTCAAAATACTGCTCGTTTATTTGCAACAACGACGCTATGCCGCGGTACATAAACGTCAATTTCCAGATTAAAATGGCAAATGAAACCTGTTTTCGAAAACTTTGCTTAGGTTATTGATGATCAATCATACATGCCCGACGCCCGCATCCCTAGCCATAACTATGCACCGTACCGTAATTTCTTCGAGTGCGTAAGAATAGCCTCTGGTGCGGATGTCATCTCCTGCACAGATTTTGGAAACCTCAGCTGGAGACGCTCTTCTGTACGGCGAGAGCATCCGAAGCGCCGCCGGCCTGGCCACCGTGCGTTCCATCATGGGCGTCTGTCCACAGTTCGACGTCCTCTGGGACAACCTGTCTGGGCGGGAGCACCTGCGCCTGTTCGCCGACATCAAGGGCATCCCCAATTCGGAGAGGCGGAAGGAGGTGGAAGATCTTCTGGCCCAGGTGGGCGGTACTGGCGTTGCCACAAGAGGCATCAAGAGACATGTGCTCATCAGCGATCATGACATTCAAGACTGGGACGGACCTCGATCAGGTCCATCCGTGTGCGCGACTAGCCAGTCGCGAGAACTGCTGCACGGTATCGAGGTCCTTTTCAGTATTGAATATACTTGGCATCGAGAGCTGCGGAGGGGATTTGTATGGACACCTCCGGTAATTGTTGGGAGTCGCGGCTGCCAAAATTCCAATCACAGTGACTGCTCCTGTTTGGCGACGCAATTTTCAAAATTGTCGAAAAGTTTCATGAAAATCCTAGAAAGTGACTTCTTTAAAAACCACATGAGCTCTGACAAGGTGGTGACCTTCCTCCGCCTCAAGCCAAATTGAATGTCACCAATTCGTTGCGGTCGTCGGATCGGATACGCCTCGAATCCGAAAATCATAAGTAAGAATCGGCAAATAAGAAAATCGCGCAAAACCGCGCCAAAGCGTGTAAAGTCATCACGCACACTCCATTGTTACTACTTGGTCTGGATCCATTTTTGCGCGACAAGCAAACAATATGTACAACATTTAACACGGTTTCTACACGATTTCCAACCGCATTACATGATACATCATTTTCAAAAACGTGTATTTTGGCCTATTCTTACTAGCGGATCATGCTGCGCCGGCAGGTGGAATTGACGGAGGCGGGAGACTTGGTGGCCGGCGCTTACAGCGGCGGAATGCGGCGGCGACTGAGTGTCGCCATTGCGCTCCTAGGCAACCCAAAAGTGGTGTATTTGGACGAGCCCACAACAGGAATGGATCCCATCTCAAGGTGATTGACCAATGAGAGGTCCAAAGGCCGTAAGAAAGACCAGTTTGGGCCATGTGTTTTCCTGGAAACCCGTATGAGGCCATCGTACGGAACTTCCCCTCGACGGTGACCTCGGGGAAAAGGTGTATGTATTTCGTGTAGATGCTGTAGCCTTGTGATGCATATTGATCGTGCATGTGCTGGATATGTGTAGCCTATAAATGGAAGTCCTCAGAAAAGAGTCAATCCAAATGCTTGATGGCATCAAGCGTTATCCTACTAACCGTCCACAATATGTGCAAGGGTACTGCAATACGGCATTTTCAGAATATCAAAAAATTTTCCGATGGCCAGAACTGCCGCAAGCCACAATTTTCAGACCCATGAGCACTCAACCACGCTCCTATTGATGTCTCGGCATGTTTCAGATCACATGCTTTTTGCCCGCTATTTATACTTGGTTTTATTGCGCCTAACTAAACCTTCGTTTAATGTCCAAATATGCGTCAGGCCTAAGCCAGTTGCAGCAACGGAATTGTTTCCCTCACGAAAGTTTTGCGCACAAATTCCCAGAATAGAAAACGATGTAAATACGTCAAATGACTGGACAGCATGCGAAGAACTCGTTGATTTTTCTCCGAAGGCTGGCGAGCTGAATCCACGAAGGTACACCTTTTCCCTTTGGTGCTATTGGCAGCTTTCGTTGTTGTGGATTGCTCTGCTGTATTTTCGTTGTTGACATATCGCCTGTATTGTGTTTGCCCTTGCCTGCGCCTATGCATAATATCCACACGTGAATAGCAATAACGAAAGCAACGCTGCGAATGTGGCACAGCAACTCGTTGTCCATGCGCCATTGCGCTTCCTCCGCAGCACCGAAAATACAATGGGGCATCCAGCCAGGGCGCCACTGACTCCCCTGCGGCGCTCAGGCGCCACGTTTGGAATCTTATAGACAGGGTGAAGAAGGGCCGGGCTATCGTGCTGACCACGCACTCCATGGAAGAGGCCGACATGCTGGGAGACCGCATAGGCATCATGGCTCGCGGCCGGCTACGCTGTCTTGGAAATGGGCTGCGCCTTAAAGCCAGGTTCGGGTCGGGGTACCGGATGAGCGTGAGTGTGGAGGTGAGTCCTCAGTTCGTGTATGGATCGCGGTGCCATCTCTGCCGAGTGAGCAGCGACCAGCTGGGACACCAGCAGAGAGCAGCCTTTTTGCGATGCTAATCGGGATGCCATTCGAATGCCACTGGATTGCCATAATAAATATATTAAATGCCATAGGAGAATTCGACGCAAATTAATGGCATCGAAGGCAATTTTGTGTCATCTCAATGAATGTGACGGCGCCATTTTACGTTGAACTGGCATCGCGGTTGGCATCACAAACATGCCTTTTTCTGCCTGCGGGATTTTTCCAGCGTTTAGTAGACTGTTTGGTGTTCTCCGACAAATCACGTAACGAGTATCAATGCTGATCTCAGGAATTCGATCTCTCAGCCTGGCATGCCAGGACTTGAACAGGGCACGCACATCAAAAGCTATGCAGCAAAGTCAAAAATAGACGATGAAACTTGCACGATAAAGTTGTATAATCAAATTGGATGATAAATTAGACAATTCGCATTGCAGGTGTTCGAGAATGACGCATTGACGCCCGTCTGTTTTCGGAAATTCCTAAACAATTTGAATGCGTAAAGTTGCGCATCTTTCCCCATCGTGTTGTCCCATTGTCGTGCGTCAGCAGCGATATGGACTTGCTCCGGAGTAAGCAGCATTCACAGCCTTTCGCCGCGTCTCTGTACATTCCCTCGGGGCCAATCGCTCCATTGGTTCGGGGGAAATGCTGGCATACAAAATTTTGCCCAACCTCAAATTCTCTACCTGTTCGAAAAGTTTCCGCTATTTCCAAATTTGCTGCTCAGTGCACAAAAATAATGACCCAAGGTGGCGCAGGGCGGTGGCAGGGCGAACGCCGCCGACAGGGTCGATGGCGTGAAATCGTTTTTCAAGGGCCGCGTAGGAATCGAGGCATTCGACGAGTCGGATGCTTACCTGCACTTCTTGATTCCCAAATCCAAGGAAGACCGGCTGTGTGACCTTCTGAAGGAAATTCAGGTGCGCGCGTGGGAGCACCTGCACGCGATGGCAAAGTACTGGGCCAGCCACTGGTCCAGTATACTATTAAGAAGATAAAAAACTGGATGCTTTGTCCGCGACATTGCCATATGTGCGTGCAGTTCCACTGTGGAAGATTTTCCACAGATTAGGCCATGGATGGCAATCCGAGGACGCGAAGAAAGGAAGTAGTTGCACGGCGGATGTGCTGTATTTTGTCTAGTTTCGCGTGAATTCCCGTATTCAACGCGTATGCTGGAGTCTTACAAATTGCAAATTACTGCAACTTGCCATATGATGATGATGATGGGCAATTTCAACCACAGCAGGATAGTGTGACAATGATCTGCTATGATTGGAACTGCCGATAATCGGCTTAGACCAAGGGCAGGAGGGTTGCCGATTTGAAGGGAGAATGTGAAGGCGCAATTGCCGCAGCGTTCAAAGGCGCGGAATCTGTCCTGCAGGCCCATAAGAAGAAGATGGGGATATCAGACGTGCAGCTGAGCCTCACCCCGCTCGAGGAGGTCTTCCTCAGGGTGGCTAGGCAGGCGGAACTGGAGTACGCCAGCGCAAAGGGGCATTTCGAAATGCTTCAGATCACGGAGGAGGGTGCCTTCGTGCAGGTCGAAACAATGTGCAACATTGGCAAATTTGGTAGCCCAAATCTGCATGTATACCACTAGCAAAAACAGGACCAAATTACGCTTTTTGAGAACGCATGTGTATGCATTTCGTCAGTGTTCTGCACGCTGAAAACACGAAAATTACCCAAACCCGTAAACTCTGTACACGCTTGAACACCTGTTATTTGGCCCTTTTTCCCTAGTGTACAGAATATTGCCTCTGCATTCTTTTCTGAACCCGGACTGTAGAGCTTACGCAGGCCGCGGTATTGATACTCAGTGCACTGCCACGCATCGGCGTCGCCCTGCAGGCGCGCAGGGGCAGCGCCATCACATTTCAAAAAAGGGTGTGCAGCCAAGGGTGGACATCGAATGCACATCGTTGCACAGTAATATTATTACAAAGCTATTATTATCATTACAATTATTATCATTACAAAGCTACAGAAGTAGTGCAGGACTTTGCCCCCTTGAGGAACGCTTCTTCAATCAGCGATGGGATGGATTGCCGCTTGGGCCCATGCAACACTTTCTCAAAGAGAAGCGGTACCAGGAAATCCTGCAAGTTGCCGTGCTATCACACAAGTTTCCCACGAGATGGTTGTCCCCGAAATGGCGCAGGTGCCGTCGGGTGCGGAGGCCGTGCAGTCGCCAGCAGGCGTGGTGTACAAAATCAAGTGGGGCCAGGACGAGAGCGGGGAGCTCAGGCTGGTGGACTACGCTCCGGCGACCCCCAGGAAGGGCGCCTCCACCGAAGCCCTCGCCCTGTCCGTCAAGATAGATGCCCACAGCGACGACTGAGGTCTCGGTCCCGCAGACGGGCTGAGATGCGCGCCCGGATGACAGCCTCACAGGCCAGCATTGGTTTTGGCCGAGAGCGGTACAAATTTTGCCCTTCATGGTACTGCGACGCACCGCTTTTTCTTTTTTCGACATTGGCCAAGAGTGGCACGAGATTCAGTGTTTTACGGTACTGCGGTGCGCTTTTTTCTTGACCTGGCCAAGTTGGCCGCTTCTGGCGGCCAGAAGCTTCGCGCGAGGGCGTTTGGTGGAGCGGCGACTGACAGGTTTCTGGGAACGGCTGGCTCTCGGCAGCGCACTGCCGGCGTTTGGTGGCTGAGTTGGGACGAGGCTGTCCTGGTGGATGAGTCGTGCAGAAGACAGCGTTGACGACGACGTCGTGGATTGCGAGGGGGGATTGCTCTGTGAATCTTCGGGGGTGGGCTCTGGATGCGAGGTCCGAACTTCTGGCAGGGGGGGTGCAAAACGGGAGGCATTCCCACCCTGTGGCGATGGGGGCGTGGGCTTTGCGGCAAATGGACAAACCAATTGCCAAGCGAAATCCGACCTTCTCCAGTGTTCCCTACTGTGCCAACGTTTGCCAATGCTCGTTCCAGCAGCTCTGTGCAGCTTGCTTTTGACTCATTCCCCGAGGCTCCTGTGACCTGCATGGTCACATATCTCCCGCTCAATTCACATCTTGAAACGTGGGCATCGTCCATTGCAACCCAACGGAACAAAACGCACTTTGAGGCTGCGTACTCGGTACACAACATTATGCAGATGGGCTCGGCCCCTCGGCCCCTCGACACACGCAGTGGACTAGGACTGTCCGTCCGCTGTTCTGCGGCCATCTGTCTGGATGCCGTGCAGGTCGGGTGCCAGCTATTGCTCTGCATGAATATGCAGATGCTTGGACACTGCTCAATGGACAGGCTGATGATCGGCTCAAACACCCGCTCGGCAAGAGGGCGGCATGCTGGCGATGGGAGCCGCTGCAGGGGTCTACTACATTTCTTGAGCCACACACTCAGGCAGAATACTCTTCAACCAGCCCCCGGCGAGGGTCGCTGCTCCCCATCGTTCGAGCTCACGGTTACTTTTTGAACAGAATTTCTGCAGAACTTTCGCAGGGATCACATATCCAGGTACGCCAATCCGCAGTGTCGTTGCAGCTTTGAAGTATCTTGTGGATTTGAACCGACAGTAAGGGAGTCCACATGCCGCCCTGCGCCGCTGGACAGCCTAAGGGAACAAAAGGGAGGGCACCGAACGCGTGGAAAAGGAGACAAGACCCCTTTAAAGTGAATTGGCCATGGGTGCATCCGTGCCTGCAGTTGCAACCGAGCATGACGCAGTGCTTTGGTACAGAAGAATTATAAAGGGCGTACAACAGCATGCTGGTCAATTCCCACCATGTTCGGGGCCTTGCTCGCAAGCAATTATTTGTCGGCGAACTGGGCAGCCCTCACCAACAGCGCCCCCAACTAAAGAAGTCATGCCCTACGAGTCAACAACAGGGTGGGCGCCCCTACGGGGGAGGGGGCCGCCTAACTCTGGAATGCAAGCATACTAGGCGCACGCCGCCGGGCCATGGCCCGCAGCCGCGCAAGATATCCGCACCGTTCTCAAAACTGCCGCTCCTCTACCAACTTTCTGGAAACCCCCTCAAATCTTTCTGAATCCTCCTGGAACCTTCCAGAAAGGCCTAGAGGCCGTCTCCACAGCCCTCCTCGACAGCGAGGCTCAGCCCCGGGCCCATGACCTCCTCCGTGGTGTTCCATGCCACGATGTGGTTGTCGCAGTCGGGGAACTCCAGGGTGATGTCAGTGGCGCCGGGCACGATGTCCACCCATTCCTTCAGCCTGGGGCTGACGCTCAGCTCCCCGCTGTACTTGATGGTCCCGACCTTGAAGGAGATCTTGACCTCAGTGGACTGTGCCAAGTAGTTGATAACCTGGAATCGGGCATCATTGCCTGGAGGCACAAACATCAAAACTTATCAGAAGTGTCGAGCGATGGCTGCCAACCTGGACGCACTTCATCACATAGCGAAAACGCAAGCTTGCTGTTTCCTATTTGTTGAAAGGATTCGCGTTGGCTAATTGCTGGACTGCCAGGTGCACAAACTATCTGTGCAGTGTGTTTGATATGTTGCCAGAAGGACATCGCTCTGCGGCTGCTACTTCCCCCGGTGCCAATAAAGAAACGCAAAAGCACAATCCGAGCTTCAGCGGCCTCTAACAACCGCACGTGGTCGCCCTTCACAATGAGCGCCAACTGCAGTCAAGGCAGACTGATTCTGGGACATTGCACATGCAGCCCAAAGTCTTTCACCTTTTGACTTGTGATTGAATGCACTGCAAGTCACTTGCAACACAATCGACCAGCCCAAGACCTGGCGAGCACCTCCATGCCAGCAACCCGTTTCTCTGCAAAAGCCTCACCTGCTGGGCAGTACGGGCACTCTTCGCAGCCCAGCTTGTCCTCAGCACCAGGAAGGTTGGCGGCCTCACCGTTGGCAGGGGCGGCGCGCACCACAGTCTCAACACCAGTCCCCTCCACCTTGCCATCATCCACGTCCTTTGAGCCCCCGTTTGCAACAGCAGTTGCAACGGCACTCGCATTCTTGCCTCCGTTCGCTGTGGCCACTGCCACTGTAGCATTCTTGCCTGCTTCCTTGGCAGCCCCAGTGGTGTTGTTGCTCCCAGCGACGGCGGTGGCCACCGTGGTGTTCCCATCAGCAGCCGCAGCAGTTGCAGTGGCATTCTTGCCCTTGGCAACCGCAGTTGCATTCGCAGACTTGGGGGTGTCGGCTGCCATGGTCTCGTTCGCAGCCATGGTCTGGTTCGCCGCCACAGTCTCGTTTGCAACTGCAGTTTCGTTAGTTGACATGGTCACCACGAGGCCAGTGTCGTTCCTGTTCTGTTCCCTGACAAGCACGGTAGAATTCACACTGCCGGTGACATTTGCGGTTGCTGTTGTGTTGGCGGCCGCTGTCCCATTGGCCATGTCATTGGCAGAGGCCGTCATGTTCATGCCATCAGCCTTGGAAGTGGCATTCTTGCCTGTAGTGGCACTCGCAGAGGCTGTCACCTTCATTCCATCAACCTTGGAAGTGGCATTCTTGCCCGCAGTGGTATTGGCAGAGGCCGTCACATTCATGCCTTCGACCTTGGACGTGGCATTCTTGCTCACAGTGGCGTTGGCAGAGGCCATCACATTCATGGCTTCGACCTTGGAAGTGGCATTCTTCCCCACAGTGGCGTTGACAGAGGCCATCACATTCATGCCCTTGGCCATGGCTGTCGCATTCTTGTCCGTTGTGGCATTGGCATCTGCGGTAGCATTCATGCCATCGACCTTGGAGGTGGTGGCATTGCTCACCACGGTCTCATCATCATCATCAGCCACCTTCACAAATTCCTTGGCGTCCTCCCTCTCCACAACAACGGTAATGTTCTTGGCCTCTGCCTTGGCGGTGGCAGTTGCGTTGGCAGCAACAGTCGCGTTGGCAGATGCAGTAGCATTCATGGCCTCCACTTTGGCTGTGGCATTGGCGCTGTTAACCACAGTTGCATTGGCAGAAGCAGTGGCATTCACGCCTTCAGCCTTCCCAGAACCTGTTGCATTCTCGGCTTTGGAAACACTGACAGAAGCAGTAGCATTGGCACCATCCTTGGCGGCAGTGTCGCTTCCTTTTCTGGCAACTGTCGAAGCATCTTTGGTTGTCGTCTTGGCAACTGCCATTGCATTCTTGCCTCCTGCGCTCGCTGTTGCCACACTTGTGGCATCGTCATCGCCCTTGCTCACCGCTGCTGCAGTTGCGCTTGTCTTGTTGCCCGACTCGACATCGTCGTGGTCTTTTCCCGCAGTCAGGTTCCTGTGCGTGTTTGTCCCCGTTGCATTCTTGGCATCGGGCATGGCGGTCACGTTCTTGGGGCTCACCATATTCATCACATTCTCGGCCACGGTCATGTTGCCACCAATCATGTTCATGGCTTCAGTCATGTTCATGCCTTCAGTAATGTTTCCATTCGTCAGGTTGAAACCTTCTGTCATGTTGCCTGTGGTCATGTTCCCATCGGTGGCATTCAGGTTTGCAGTCATGTTGCCAGCAGTCACGTTCATGCTGGCTGTCTCATTGGCACTGGCCGTCGCCTGCCCATTAGTGACGCTGACCGAGGCGCTGGCAGTTGCGCTGCCACCCTTAGCCTCCGACTGGAGAAGCACTCGTCCATGGGCACCATACAGAAGAGCTAAAAGGCCCACCACCTGCACGGAGCGTAAAGGAGTAAATAACAATACTTGGCAAGCTTACTGTATCAAATAGCAGGGAAAACAAAGAGCATCAGAGACGGCTTAAGCCCTGCCAGAGCTCGCCCCACATTGCTTTGACAGTTCTTGTGCAGGCAGTTGTGAAAAGGTGCACGAACGCCCATCAGCGAGGAACTGCTGCCTGGTCATGGCAGGCAACTGCAGATAATCCTGCAGCTAATGCACTACAGTGTTGGACAGCAACAAAGGGGATACCTCGGGTTTTTCCTGTGACAGCACGATTGTCCTTTTGGGCAACAATGGCCATGGCTAAAGTATGATTTGTAATGTAATCGTGTTTTTGTCAGGTCTGCTATAGCCTCTACTGTTGATTGGCTAGACAAATGGCCACAAAACGCGTTCATCACACAATGCAAGGTGTTCTGGTAGCAGATCTATGGAGTGCATGGCTTTGCAAAACACAGTTTGTCATGGCCGTCGTTGCCAAAAAATAGTGACAGCTTTCTGTAGAGGAACATTTCTGGTCACAGTTGCGAAAATGAATACAAATGTTGCAACAATAAGTTATGCAATATAAATACTTTGGCACCTTTGTGGGAGAGAACAGACCACTGTCACAACAAGGCAACGTTCGCTGGCAGCCTGCGGGCATATGCTGCGAGGAAACCAGAAGGGGACGGGCCAATAACGTCTTGCGAATTGGCAATCGGCGGTGCGCCAGGCTCGTTCCCTATGGTCCGTTTGAAGTCCATCAAATGGGGCAGCGCTTCCGCAGATGCGCTGTTTTAACTAGAGCTGATCGAGTATTGTTGACAACTGGACGCATAAAGAGGTGGTGCAGCATCAGGAATTGTACCAAGGACATCCATGATCGGACTGGATATAGGGGACAGAACTCCTGCTGTCCCTTTGCTCCACTGTACACCGTTGCCGTGCACTCGAGCCTACGGGCCCAAGTCAGAGGTTGCCACTGAGAGCATATTAGTCCCTCTGTCCTTTTCGTGAAGATCCCGTTTTCTTCCGCTGAAAAGACCAGCGTGGGTCAGTGGTCCAGGGTGTAGGGTGTCGAAACCAGAAGGGCTCCTCACGGAAAAGACAGGGCGACTAATTTCATACCGCCGCCGCTGCTCGACACTGCCTGCCTTCGCCAGCTCACCCACCCCCAGCGGTAAAAGTCTGGGATAATTTCGCTCAAACGGGTCCGACGAAAGGAAAATCACAGCGAGGGGAGCGAAGCCAACCCGAGGCACGCCACGCCAGGGGCGCGACGCCTGTCGGCGTCCATGTCGGATGGCGGCCGCATCAACGTGCAGAATATGTTGGTCCCTGTGTCCTTTTCGTATGGATCCCTTCTTCCGCTGACAAGGCTAACGCCGGTCAGTGGGCCAGTGGTTTAGGGTTTGGTGTCCGGAAACAAGATGGGATCCACACGAAGACTGAGCGACTAATATCATCCCCGTCACATGGGCGGAAAACGTTACGCCCCCAATCAAACCGCGCTCAAAAACGTAGGCAGTCTGAAAGCCCTGTGCCCCCTCCGCCAACATCAACACGGGAAGCGGCTTGTACAGGTACGCCCGCAGTACGACGGGCGCAGATGGATACCATCCAACCATATCCGCCCCCGCTCAAGGCACAACAGCAAAGCAAGGCGGGCCCACACAGCCCGGGCGCGCTGGGTGCAGGGTAAGGGGTGGCGCACCCACCAGCAACAGACTCCCTCTTGCCATCGCGGCGCCCTTCGGTGTAGCTCACTGCTCTCGGCTGCGCGACCACAACAAGCGGGCGCCTCAGCACGGATCGGCCGGCCGCCGGGGGGCGAACAACCCGTTCCTCCCCAAACACAAGGCACCAACCCAACAGCCCCCCCGGTCGCATTATCCAGCGGCATTCAATACACCCAGTGGGCGCCTGGTACCTTTTTTTCAGCCAGCACCCGATCAAGCCCTCAGCCCTCTATGTACTTCTCCGCTGTCCGGTCGCCAGGAGGGTCCGGCCAGGCCGGTTCCCTCGCCCCGGGATCTTCGGATTCTGCGCACGAGCACGGACACACGGGTCAGGGACCCCGCTCACCGCCCAACTCTCCGCCGGCGGCAGTCCCGCACACCGGCCGGGGACCAACCCCCGGTGGGGCACCCAGCATTGGACGTCGGCGCAAGCGCGGACGGACAGGGCCCGTGGAGCCAAACCTCGTCGGAAGGCCCAGGACCCAAATTTCCCCCTGAGAATGATCCAAGCCCCGTTGGCTGAGGCCCAAGCGAGGGCGAGTCCCGGCGTCTGAAATCCGACAGAGGCGATGCGATTCAATGCGGGATGCGGCTCAAAGGAGGGAGGCGGGATGCGCGGCGGCCGGCAGGGGTGTGGAAAGGCGTTTCTGGCGATCGCTGCAGCTCACCCGGAGGTTGGTTAGATAGGCGGCCTTGGTCCGGCCCCCCCTCGGCGAGCTTCCCTCGGCTGCCTCCGGGAAAACAAGCGAGGGGTGCGGGCGGTGCACCAGCCCTTGTGTCAACCGGCACCGGGGCCATCAAGCGGACCGTGGGAGGCATATCAGGTCGCCGATGTTGACGGGACAGCCCGCCCGACTGGGGGCTGGGATGTCGCATCGGCTACGGTCAGACGGGGGGGTCGAGGCGGGGGGTGACTGCGACATCGGAGTGGGGTCATTTCTCGGACATGCGACAAATTGCCGCTCCCGCTTCGGCTCGCCTCTGCGGGTGATGGTGATTGAGAGCGTGTCGGTGCCGAGGGGATAAACAATCCTTGGACCAATGTACGTTCAGGTACGGCCGGCTCCCAATGCAGGCGTTGGGCAGCCCGCCGGGGGGTGTCCGGGGCGGAATTTGCCACTGGTCGGCCGTCTCGGGTTCAGCGCTGGGCAGAAATGCAACCATGTTCCGAAGCGCGGGGGATCACGGGGGCTGATGCGCGTTTATCAACAAGCCTCCCCGCCCATCAGCTGCGTCTGGTGCGCAAGGGCACACGGCCCTCTCGGTACGACATGCAGCAAGCATTTCGTCGCCGATTGCATCCGTAGGCTATCGTGAGTGTGAACAACCGTGGCGAACATTCGTCAATAATCGTCACCGGTTAAAAAATAACTGAAGGGGCACGGCTGCGTTGTCTGGAAGGCTCATGAGCAGAGTGGCCGTCATTTTGCTTCTTTTGGGTTGATAGTTCCCCGGTCTTCCTTCCCAATCTTCCCTCTTTCTTGATGCAATAATAGTTTGATGGATTGCATGCGCGTCCAGCCCTTTTGGTCCGGATGTGGGGCACCCCACAGGTCAACTGCAATGGAAAGTCTGTCTATTGGCAAACCCTGAGAGTCTGCTGCCACAATCGCGCTTCCTCGTAAGGAGTGGAAGACATATGGCAAGAATACGAAACGTTTGCTGCTTTTAATGTCGAATAAAGAATAGGCAAACCATTCACTTCTTTTGAGTAATTCTTTTCAAAACTCACAATATACTGTTGCAAATTGGAAAGGCGAGGAAACAAACCCCTTGGTCCCGGCGATCTCTCCAAAAGAAGCAACACATTTAGCACGAACCTTTGTCGGCAGGTTAATGGCAACTGAGCTGGTTCAAAGTACCAAACCCCTGTGAATGGAAAATCTAAAATGACCCTCATCGACATGCTATCTGCCATCAGCGGCACGGAAACTACTTACTGTTGATGGCAGGTAAGTTTCTATACAGTAAATTGCCTTTGATTGGTAGTTTCTTTTAAAAGAAAATTTGATGATGTCCATCATTGTCAAACATAAAATCAAGCTACAGCCTTCACTACAAACCAAACCTATCAAAGAAACACAGAGGAAAGACATGGAGGAAATGAAAAAAATCCAGGGAACTTGTGGTATCTCACACCAAAAAACAGAGAAAGAGTTTTCTTACTTTCCCTTTCCCTTCTTACCCTTTTCTTACTCTCTCTTTCATTTTCATTTCTTCATGTTTTCGATGTGAGGTACACCTAGCCACAAAGGGCTATTGTTGGTGCCACTTGCCCTCAAATATACTCAGGCCCATTTGACAAGGTCACAAGAACAATTTTCAGATACATATGGTCCTTTTGTTTGACCTTTCTCTCGCACGTATTTCTTTAGAATGTCGTCCCAGCAGCCTCAATGTCCAATCGCTCTTGTGTGGAATGTCGGACCAGCGATTCGAGGTATGACGGTGGTGTTGCAATATCGGATCAGCGCGTTGTAGATCTGACAGCGCTGTCATAGTTCTCATGAAACATGTCTCATATAGCACTACCTCTTTCTGTCAGCGGGCTTTGACGGTTGGACTTGACGAACGACTCGATTGGGATATATTCAGATTATATTCGGATATGTTATTCGGATATTCGCGCTGAGGTTTGTGCAGGAACTTCTTGGAGGCGCTTTGAAGCATTAGGAGACGGGTCGGCCACGTGCACATGCAGCAGCCTGACTCTGAATTTCATGACAAGAAACATGATGAAAAGGATATTTCATGTTGAGTATTCTGATAACATGCGTGCCATGTATACACTCATCGGAATCGGAGAGGGCCACGTGTTTCATCATGCTTTACTCCCGTGACCACTAGGAAAAAAAGTGCCAAATAACACTTTTGCGAACACACATAAAACACATTTCATCATAGTTTTACACGCTAATAACACAAAAATAACACAAACCCGTAAACTTTGTACACATTTGAACACGTGTTATTTGGCCCTTTTTCCCCTAGTGGACAGGCTGCTCATGAACGAAGCAATGGCTCGAATTAAATGCGAACGCTCCATACCTTTGTGGGCAGCTAGCAACCCAAGGCTCAGCAGTCAGCGACTGCATGTGAGTGATAGCATATCAATGGCGGTAATTTCCAAAGGCTGCCGTTGCTGCGAACGCACTATCATAGCCATAACGGCATGCGTGTGACAAAGGGAACTTTTATTTTCATGTTGTTGGCTCGCTTTGGCAAACTGAACCTGCTCACCACTTTCTGCGCCAACCCCAGGCCGCCAACAGGTAGAAAGAAAAGCATCGATTCCTCACCGCGCTCTCCATGTGCATTCAATTGCGTTGGCGTCGACAAGGGATGGATTTTGACGCGGTATTGTGACCAACACTAAACGGCCCTCGGGGCACGAAAGCCACCAATGCACTGACAGCAAACGCTGTGGTGGTAATAGTACGCCAATGATGTAGAGACGCGATTGAGCGCCGACACTTGCACAGGCGTTGCCAAGATAATGCTCCGAACTGGGTCATGACCAATGCTGATCAACATTGGCCGACGCGCGGCGACAACGCGAGTTGATGATGCGCAGTGCGCGTCATCATTACTGCACTATATTCTGGCAAATTCACTGATGTGATGACCATAAAACAGCTGTCACAGGAACTTATTTGAAAATCCATGCATCTCTGCGTCTTGAATGCCTTGAAGACAGGTATCGCGTTGATCAAATCACTGCCAAAAAGAAGCAGTGTTGCCAGTAGATTTCATACAATACTTGCAGGGTGTGTCCTGCAGCATTGCATGAAGTACTCCATGGAGATTTCGCACCCTGAACAGGTGCTTTACGGGGCCATGGTCAAGCATGAAAGTTGCACTCACAAATAATTCAATGCGCTTATGCACATTGCAATTCAAGAACGTCCTTCGGGAGCAATAACAACAGGCAATAGCAGGTTGGCCTTTACATCTACGTAGACGTTTTTACAATGTTTATCGTTTTACGCATAGAATGTAAACACACAGAAGCAGCTCTTTTTCCGACTATATTGCGTATCTTTGCAGCTCGTTGGGACAACCCAGATTCCATGATGATGTCACACACAATAATCAGTGCTCCGCACCCTCGAGCGCCAGCAACACAGCGTCCACATCAACACGATCCGCAACACAATGGCACACACGCTTTGCCTCTATGGTGAATAGGCTACAGACATTGGCGCGCCTCTTGCTTAGAGTTTCTTCTCACGCATCACCTGGTAGCTCGCAAGCTCGTCCCTGACCACCTGGGGGACCTCGCCCATGGATGCTGCCACGCTGGGGCCGTTGATGCCAGCTAGGTGACGGCATCGGCGCGCCTACCTCCGTTTACGACTAGGCAACGGTATGCGCAGGTGGCTTGCATAATTTTCACGTCCGCAAAGTGCTTAGCGGATGACCCGAACACTCCTTTTCATGGCCGGCGTGGCCTGCAAAGGGGACCATCGGTCACTGATTGACCAGGAGCACAGAATCTATGTACACGGGCGGGTGCTTACGCCTGTGTATATGGATATTCACGCAGGTTTACGCACAAAGACGTAAATGCGATCTGTCTTTACGCCGTAAATATCAATCCTGGGCTATAGTATGTGTGAGCCAATTGCAGTCATACCTCCGTCCAAAAGACCTTGTGAGCCCAGGGCTGTAATTAGCGCACCGTCCGTACTCGTCAAATGCGAGTCAAATTGCAATGCGAGTCTCGGGCACAAATGCGCATTATTTTCTCGACGTTGCTAATACCTTCCCTCCCACCCAGGACGCATCCTCTTAATTCCCACAAAAGGTGGCAAACAAGAAGCAGCAGAAGGTAAATTCAATAAAAGTGACCGAAGCCACGAAATCAGCGCGTAATCCCGCAATCTAGAGTATGTACGATCATGCAAGGGGGAGACAAGGACAGTTCGCCTAGAGTTGTTGATCGACTTGCCTTCAGTCGTCGATGCAATCTGATCAGAAATTTTCCAAATTATCTGGTTGGT